CAAGACTTCTGAAAACAGTTCACGGGTTCTCCAGTAACGGATGTTAACCTATCACTTGTTCAGATTCTTCTCAAGACTTCTGAAAACAGTTTATGGATTCTTCCCAACAACGGATGTTAATCTATCGCTTGTTCAGATGCAACTTTTGAAAACAGTTTACGGACGCTTCCCAACAACGGATGCTGCTCTATTGCTTATTCAACTTCAAGACTTCTGAAAACAGTTTACGAATTCTTCCCAACAACGGATGTTAATCTATCGCTTGTTCAGATGCAACTTTTGAAAACAGTTTACGGACGCTTCCCAACAACGGATGCTGCTCTATTGCTTATTCAACTTCAAGACTTCTGAAAACAGTTTACGGATTCTTCCCAACAACGGATGTTAATCTATCGCTTGTTCAGATGCAACTTTTGAAAACAGTTTACGGACGCTTCCCAACAACGGATGCTGCTCTATTGCTTATTCAACTTCAAGACTTCTGAAAACAGTTTATGGATTCTTCCCAACAACGGATGTTAATCTATCGCTTGTTCAGATGCAACTTTTGAAAACAGTTTACGGACGCTTCCCAACAACGGATGCTGCTCTATTGCTTATTCAACTTCAAGACTTCTGAAAACAGTTCACGGGTTCTCCAGTAAAGGATGTTAACCTATCACTTGTTCAGACTCTTCTCAACTTTTGAAAACAGTTTACGGACGCTTCCCAACAACGGATGCTGCTCTATTGCTTATTCAATCTCAACTTCTGAAAATAGTTTACGGATTCTCCAAACATGGATGTCAATCTATTGCTTATTCAGACCCCCAGTTCAGAGACGTTCCGAAACATGGAGACCTTTCTGATACTTGTCCACTCACCAATGAATTACAGTTCAACATTACCAGATGGCATCTATAAGCCCATCCTCCTACCAGCAGTCACCAAATGGCATCTTTAAGCCCATTTCCAGATGGCATCTCTAAGCCCATCCTCCTACCAGCAGTCACCAAATGGCATCTTTAAGCCCATTTCCAGATGGCATCTTCAAGCCCATCACAAATGGCATCTTTAAGCCCATTTCCAGATGGCATCTTTAAGCCCATTCACCTCTACCATCACATCGCCGAGTGCAAATTTTCTGAATGAGTTGACTGTTTTTCTGTGATTTTTCTATTATGGATTTGGTTATGACTTTAAAATGCTGCAGATTCAGATATGGGGAAAGGTAAATTGGTCTTGACCGTATGTTTGTGAATACTGGTGTAGCAGCATGGCACAATCATCGAAGGCTGAAGACACGTCAACATTGCTTAATTCCAAACTGGGTCATAATTCAAGAGGCTGATGGTTATACCATGGCTATTTGGTTTGAACATGTTTAGAGGATTAGGCTTATGACTAAGTTTCCCTGTAAAATATTATGAATGGCTTGTAATATATTTTGGAAATTGAGTGTTCTTGAAAGGATTTGGATGAATATTGACTTGAAGTTTAAGTTTTTGGAATTGTAATGGTGAATGAATATGATGTGTATTTTGGATGAGCCAAATTGGTAGTTTTCTTTGTAACTTTATAATGGCATGAGTTTTGTAATGGAATGAAATTGAAATGGAATTGATTGGATATAATTTGTACGAAGTTTGAGTACTATTGAATGACTATTTTGAAAACTTCCATGTGGATGAACCTTGTATGGACAAAATGGTGACATATGGATCTTGAGCCATAAAAAAAACATGCCTTGAACACTTGAATTCGCACTTGGACTTATGAAATAAGGTTTAACAATGATGAATGATACTTGAATGGTCGTCATGAGATAAGCCTCAACTTGCCTCTTTTGTAATTAAATTTTTTCTGCCATTGTTCCTTGTTTGGATCAACTTCTTGAAATCCTGAACACATATGCTATTGAAACTTAATTTTGATATACTGAGCAAACAACGATGGACCCCTAATCTAATTTAATTCCCCCAATCTAACCCAAATTTGCGTGTCAAGCAAAAAGCGTTAGAAAAAATACTGCCTTGAATTGGTAAAGAAGAGAACGCCTTAAATGAAAACCAAATCAAATCTGAACACCAAGGATTAGAAACCCTAATTCACACTTGCATCACCTACCCCTAAAATCTTGCATCTTAAGACAAAGTTGATAGGAAAAACACCCTTGAACCCTGATATGCAGATCCCTAATTGATGAAATAAGGAACAGACTATTCCACCGTATCAATGCATAATCAACCTCTAGAAGCTTCAACAATGAATGTACCTTTGGATTCTAAAAGATAATCCTAATAAGATCCCAATGGCATCAATACTCTTGACGAAACCTTTATCCCATAAAATAGGAGCAGATGATTCACCAAAAATGTTTATGCTAAAGTTCACACTCTTTAGGATAGAACCAAACACTCGTCAATTAAGAGAAAGCTTCAGATGAAAGTCAAGTCTTGGTAAGAAAATCCAAGAAGTGGTGACAGAACTTGTAACATTAGTAACAGATGGAGGTCCTTAATTCTGAAGGAAGGAGACTCCAGATAGCCATAAGTTGCAACCCTAAACCATAATCCTTGGAGAAGAACTCGATTAGAGCACAATTGTCGAAAACCTGGCTTCGATCGCACATAGGAAAATAAACTGACAACTTCGTAGCTTGATGAAGACAAAAATTCTTAGTGACGCATATTACAACCCTAATTCCACCGCTTACTGTTTGAATAAGAAATCAGCCTTTATTAGACACGAACGCCTTAACCACTACGAAACCCTAACATCGCACAACCACTGAACTTTGAACCTCAAGCGCTTTAATGAATGCAGTGCATGCTATGTTAGTGACCTAATGGAATATATGCAGATGAATGCAAAAGTCTAAGCCAAATAAAAGAAATTAGGAGGGAAAATTTTGGGGTGCAACACGTTCGCGCACCAGTTTCTAAGTGGATGAGCTTCCTTGAAATGGGTCATCTTATAGCAAGTGCATATGAGTGGGTGTGTATCGACTTGACGAGGTATGGTTTTTCAGAGACATTTTTTCCTCTTCGGACTCCCCCACCTGAAGATCCATCTGGCCGCATCATGTGTATTGGATAACTTAGATCACACCATTTTATTCAGGTTTATTTGAAACCAGGTTGTCCTATACCGGCTGCATCTTTGGAATGGACAACACATCATAACAAAGAGGCGGAAATTTGGCCGGATCACTTTTTAGAAAGGATGGTAGAGTTCACCAATTTGATGGAGCTTGAGAGAGAATCAAATAGGGAGAAGTCGAAAAAGAACCGATTTTAGATTTAAGCGGTGAAAATTCGTTCAGTGCATTTTAGAAAGTTTAATCGAACCATTTTTTGAATGTATTGTCGTACACATTGTAAAATCTATACGTTTCAATACATGTATAACATATTATCTATATTTTGTGTTACAATATTTTTGTACACATTAATGAACAATAATGAAACCGAGTTCTGTTTCTGCATAATTCGAAAGTGCACTTCCGAATTAACCATCAATTTTTTTAAAAAATAACACAAGGCTTATTTCGGATATGGACTTCTGAATTAATCTTTTCTTTTTATTAAAACACATGGTATCTTCGGATCTGTATCTCTGAAAACCCATATTTTTGATACAAATAAGGGGAATTCAGAGGCGCACTTCTGAAATATGTCCTGATAAGATTTCTTTGGTCCATATTGCTCCAAAAAAGGCTATAAATTGGATCTTTCATACCATTTCTTAATCATTCACATGCCACAACTAGAAATGACACAAACATATCCACACCTTGCGTTTGTCTACTTCAGTGGTGCGCAGTCACCACTTCAATTCAGGTTCCCGCAGGACACGCCGTTTGCCGAGCTTATTACCATACTGCATTCTCTCTTGCAATATCCAGAGAATCGAAAGGTGATCAAGTTTGAGTATCGTTCATCTTTAATTGACAGTGAAGAAACATAAAGTTCATCCCGTTTGAGCTCAAGAACGACGATGATTTAGAGGTTATGTGGGGTACCTTTCAACAATACTCTTCTAAAGGTCTGATTGAGATGGATGCGAAGCTTCAAAGATCAGCAGAAGATGTTATCAAGATGTTGCGTCGTCCTCAACTATTCGTTTATAATAATATGTAACTTTAATTTTCTGCATAACTATTTATGTAACTTCTTTGAATTATGTTGAATGAATGTTATGAATTATGTTGAAATTTTGTTCTGCCCAGAGATACTTTCGAATATGCATTTCCGAAAATATCTAACAAATAACATCTGATATGCATATCTGAAGTAAAGTTAATAATTCACATTAGTGATCCGTTCGGAGATGCACTTTCGAATTCTGAGAGTATTTTAAAAATTTCTTCATAAATGCGGAAGAAATATATTAAGTATAAAAAGGAATTCTCTAAAACTAATATGTACTTTACGACACCAAACAATGTCGTTTCATTCTCCCACTAACAACAAGTCAACAACGATAAGGGACTGTGGCTACTACAAGCGAGTGAGGTCAAATGCGTCGTGGCGCGTCGCGTTGTGTCGCAGTCAATACTATAACTAGAGTGAAAACCCTTATAGTTCATCTGGTTCTTGATTTTGTCTTACTTCTTCTACAAGTTTTTTTTTTCTTTTTTCTTCTAATTTTCTTTCCCCCCAAAATCATTTTCTCAAGAAAATCCATTGCCAGAGAAAATGTTTCCTTCGTATTTTCCTTCTCTTCCTCCACGGCCACCTCAACCTCCCAACGCCATTTTCGTTGTTGCTACGGTTGCTATATTTTTTTTCGCCGAAAATCTCTGATAATATAGATAAACATTTTGTACATTCTTGATTTTAGGGTTTAGTACCTTCTTCTTCATCTTTAGGGTTTATGACCTTCTTGTTCTTGATCTTGATACCTCTACAGTAGTTTTTTCTCTTGTAAAGTGCATTCCAAGTTTCTTTGATTCAAGATTACTATACCGATTCTTACAAGGATTCTTGCATTTTGAAAGTGAGAATTTTCCCGAGAAAATGAATAAGGAAAATCGATTTGCACCACTCTTAGCACCGTCTACTTCTTCTGATGTTTACATCAAAGATCCTTACAAGTAAACTTTCACTTCTGATTATTATCTTTATTTTGATAATTAACCGTTTTAATCATGTTCTGTTTTGAGTTTGTTTATTATTTTAATCATTATATATTTTTTTTACCAAAATTAATAATTATTATTTAATTAAATTTTTATCCGACGAAATTTTGTTTTGCTTTACGGCATAAATAAAGGCGCTTCAGTTATTTTTATCCGACGAAATTTTTAGTTTGTTATTTTCTTCTCGCCTAAGTAATGTCATTATATATAGTATGATGATTATTAATGAGGAGTCTGTTAATTTGGTTTTGCAGAAGTTCAAGAATCTCATACACAAGAAACTTTCTTCTCTCTTTAGCTAAAGCTAAAGCTGGTAGTTACAGAACGATGAAAGTATCAAAGGAGCTTCAGTTAGCAATGTCTTGGTAATACACAAGAAACTTTCTTCTCTTCTACATTGTGTTTTTCTTATGTATAGATTGCTTAATTTGTAACTTTTTCTTGATCAGTATGTATGAAGGTTCTCTTGATCTCCTACCCTCCCCTTATAGTGAACTAGGTATATACTCTTTAATTCATTATCTTCTTGCTATTACTTATTAGCTATCTTTGCACAAAAGCATTTATTAACATTTATGCTTTGATACAGATTCAGTTAGTCAGAAAGTTTCTGCTTCAAAGGTTCTGGATAATGTCCATCTACTGCATACTAGTAGTAAACCATATCTGCCTCCATGTCGCAACAAGGTTTGATTTTAATCATCTTTATTTACAATACTTAGGTTATTATACTATCAGCAAATATGGTTTAGTTTCTTCATGAAGTAAAGTTGATTTAGGCTTTCAATTATGGTTTAGTTTCTTGATGAAATAAGGTAGAGAGTTGGGCATTCAAACATGGTTTAGTTTCTTGATGAACTAAGGTAGATTTAGGCATTCAAATATGGTTTTGTTTCTTGATGAACTAAGGCATTCAAATACTGTTGTTTCTTGATGAAGTAAGGTCCATATTATCCTGCTTTTCAGGCACTATCTTCAAGTGGAGACAGCAATGGCTCACTAAAGAGTGACATATCTGGATTTTCTGAGTGTACAAATCAGGAAGTGCAACCAGAACAACAAAAACGTCAAAATGTTTCTCCGACGAAATTTCCAAAGAGTGATGAGCTTTGGGAGTCTTATGTGTATCTTGAACCTCCATCGATCCATGATGTCCAAATTCAGCACGATTCAGAACTTAAGTCTTCCAATACCAGCTTCGAAGACTGGTCAAGTTCTATCTCTGGTTTTAGTTTCCCTGATGAGGACAGTTTAATTACATATGACGGACCTTTCTCGACCCTTGAAGCGGAAATTCCGCCTAGTATTGATAGTTTCATGTCTTCCCCTGAAAGCAATCTGACTGAGGATGATTTGGATAGTCAAGACTCAACTTTTGAAATGATCAAGAGTCTTATAGAATTTGTACTCAATGGTGATGATGATGATTACGATGACGATTATTATAATTTTGATAAGGATAGTTCCTGTATGGATGATACTATGGCAGAGCTGGTCCAGCATGGTGCTAGAGTTGCTAAACCAAACCTTTCTTTTGAGGCGTTTCATTCTAATCAGTTGAATCTAGGAAGGGGTCCATTCTCTCTGTCTTCCCACTCTTGCCCATGGGGCCAAATATGTGACAGTGATAATGAGCTTAAAAGGTTTGGTCTTGGAGCTGATGAATCAATGTTTCAACAGGGTATAATGCCATCACTTGAGGTGCCTTCATGGAAGGAGAAGACAAACCTAATGAAGAATTCTTCTGAATATCAGCATCCAGGCTATTACTGTTATGTAGAAGGAGCTCCTGGTAAGAAAATGTCTGCATAATATTTTGTTTGAGTCACGTGCTTTTATAACTGAAAACTTAAACATGTTAGATTCTCTTGGTGATGGCAATGGAGTAATTGGCAGTTTTGAAGACAAGAAACTGGGAGAAAGTCAGTTCATGAGAGGATTCTACTAGTTGCAGACTTTCCAGTGATTAGGAATTGTTAATATGGAGATAGGAATATTAGGTGAAGAATAGAATGTGATAATCCTTTGCTATTTTTCAAATTTTCTTGTGAAGCAGCCATGAATGCTCTGAAGCTGCTTTAAATAGATCTCTCTTAGCTAGTATATTAAGAAAACAAAAACAGTTAGCTCCTAGTTACTACTATATTTCTGTGTGTTTTTTACTTTTTGGATGATGTGTTTGTTGGCTATATTTCTGCAGTGAATACAAGTTTTGGTGCTTAAGCATCAAATGGAAGTTTATGTTCTCAAGTTTTTCTTTGCTTATAAAATCAGTGTAGAGGGTAGTACAGTGCATAATTGAAATCTTGCTATCATAATTTTGTAAATATAACTAGCTTATTCCATTCCATTTTATCCTATCCCACCAAGAAGTGACATTGCAGACCCGGCTGATTTTGTGTGTTTTAATTGCAGATCATTAAAGTTTTTTTCATTGAGCATATTCAATTTTCCCATCAAGTCATGATTCTGATTTTACATGTACTTGAAAGCATATTTCCTATTTGGTTTTGCTGTCACAACTCTCACGTGCTTCTCTTTTTCATGTGTTTTGTACTTCATGTAGTAGATTATTGGTCACTTTCCTTTCACCAAAGATATTGTTCTTATATTTGAGACTGATTCAACAGAAAGGTCAAAAGATGAAGAGCATGTCAATTTTCTTACAGAATTTTTACCACATATACAGAGCCGGCCCAACAAATTTGGAGCCCTAAGGCAAAATTTTAAATTAAAAAAAATTAAAAAAATTAAAAATAAAAAACCACCAATATTTTTTTTAATTATTATTTTCTTCAATTAAATATCTAAATAATATAAAACTAAATATATTAATTTTATTAGTTTAATCCTTAATTTAAAAAAATGAGATTCCAAAACTTTACAGTAGAAAGAATCAAACCACTACCTGCAAGGTAAATAAAATACTACCTTACCACCATGCTACAACTCACCTGTTGAAAATACTGCTTTCGGTGTAATATATTTCTTAATTAATTTATTTAAATTTTTTTTAATGACATGACAGATTATTGGCTTTCTATTAAATGATAGTGTAAAATAATTTTACAGTTTCAAGTGCATATAAATTAAACCCTTAAATTAAACTCTTTTTATTCGTGATTTGTTTTACCCATATTTCTCAGTTTTACCCATATTTCACTAGATTGCTATTAAAGAGGGCCAAATATTCTTTTTATTAATGACTGGTGATTTGTTTTACTAATAATATTTCACTAGATTGCTATTAAAGAGGGCCAAATATTCTTTTTATTAATGACTGGTGATTTGTTTTACTAATAATATTTCACTAGATTGCTATTAAAGAGGGGAAAACAAGGAAGTTGTTATGCATTCATTGTCACAACAACTTTTTCAAATTTATTATTTAATTATATAAATATATGTTATTAATTTTTTTTTTTTTAATTTACATATTAGAAGTAGTAGCTAGTTAGAGCAATTCGATATTTTGCTATCATGTAATTGACATCTGTCAAGATATTTGCTCAAAATCTACTATAGCAGGCCACCTATCTTGTAATATAAAAGAAAGTTAGTTAGCTTTTATAATTAACTTTCAGATCAATAAAAAGTTGTTGAGAATCAACGAAACTTTCTCTTTCACTTTCTATCATGGTATCAGTAGAAGTAGCGTAGCTTCGTTCGATCCACGGCCATGGCGTCTTTTCCGCCACTGTCACCTTCTTTCTCTCGTTCCAATTCCGATATCAAAAGTCCGACACTGGTGAAGGCTGCGACGGTAGCTTTCGATGATCTTCGCCGCTTCAATTTCGCGCTCAAACTCTCGCAAAAGCTTGACGAGAAAAACTTTCATCTATGGCGACAACAAGTCGAACCGTTCATCAGGCTCGCAAATATGGATCTAAAAATCCTGCTTATTCAGTTTGACTTCAGAAATATCAATTGTTGTTATCGTGGCTCCAATCCACGTTATCGAGTGAAATTCTCTCTCGAGTGCTATGTTGCACTCATGCACGCGATTATACATCTCCAAGGATGTAATCTTCAATAAGTTCAAATTTTCTTATCATGAGCTATTCCCTCGATCTGCACCTAAAAACTCCTCCACCAGGGATGCTACTATTCATGCTCTTCCCTTAAATTTTCCTTCTCATTGTTACATTCCCTCTAATAATTTGGGAAGTAGCTCTAACAACACACTTGTTGACAGTCACACTCAGGATCCTTCCATTTCCAATAATCATGAACCTCCTGAAGTTGTGTCACCTGTTTTTGATCCTTCCTCATCTACTCAGGGCCCTTCATCTCCAATAGCTTTGAGTCTACTGCCAGTTCCAGTCATTCAACTCCTTTATCTACTGATTCTGTTGAAAGTCCTCCATCTATACCTCCTTTTGCCATTCATGTCCCTGTCATACCTGTTAATCAGCATAGTATGCAAACCAGGGCTAAGTCAGGCTTCATTCAACCCAGACTTCAGCTTAAACTGCTTCTTACACATACATAACCTAAAACTATTAAACAGAAATTGTCAACTCCTCACCGGCAGTCAGCTATGCAAGCTGAATTTGATGCCCTCATAGCTAATGAGACATGGTCTCTTGTCCCTCTTCCACCTAACAAACAAGCTATAGGTTGTAAGTGGGTTTTTAGAATCAAACAAAACCCAGATGGAACTGTAAACAAATTTAAAGCCATATTGGTGGCTAAGGGTTTTCATCAAAGGCAGGACTTTGATTTTACAGAAACTTTCTCACCTGTTGTGAAACCTGTCACAGTCAGACTTATATTTACTATAGCCTTCACGCATCATTGGCCAATCAAGCAATTGGATGTTAATAATGCATTCTTAAATGGAATACTGGCTGAGGAAGTCTATATGCAGTAACCTTAAGGGTTTGTTAGTGTTGATCCCACCCATGTTTGTAAATTGAACAAGGCCATCTATGGGCTATAATAGGCTCCTAGACAATGGTTTGAGAAACTTCAAGCAATCCTACTCAAACTTAATTTTCAGCCTAGTAAGTGTGATCCCTCCTTATTTACTTATCTGGCCAATGGGCACACCATCCACCTTCTTGTATATATGGATAGCATAATAATTACAGGAAATTCTGAATCTCTCCTGACCTCTATTCTTACTCAACTCAATGTGGCTTTCTCTCTAAAGTTCTTGGGTGATCTTGATTATTTCCTTGGAATTGAGGTGAAATCTGCTGCTAATGGTTCTTCGTTATTAACTCGATCTAAATATATTAGAGATCTGCTTCAGAGAACAAATAGGCCAGAGGCTTCTCATGTCACCGCTCCCATGCAATCTACTTGTAAGCTCACTAAAACAGGCTCTGCTGAACTCTCTGATCCTTTTTTCAATAGGTATTTGGTTGGAGCTCTGCAATATGCAACCATTATCAGACCTGAGCTAACCTATGCAGTTAACAAAGTATGTCAATTCATGACACACCCTTTAGAGACTCATTGGGTGGCAGTCAAGCGTATTCGGAGGTATCTGAAAGGGACAATTGGTCATGGTCTTTGCCTAACTCCTCTTCCCTCATCCTCCCCTACATCGCTATAGGTTTTCTATGATGCAGAATGGGCTTCTGACCCAGATGACAGAAGAAGCACGTCTAGTGCTACTATTTACTTTGGTGAGAATCTCATCACCTGGTGGTCAAAGAAACAATAAGTTGTGGTTCGTTCTAGTACTGAATCTGAATACGTATCCCTGGCCCTGGCTACAACAGACTTGTTATGAATTCAAACTCTCCTGTCGGAACTTAACATAGTTATCAAACCTCCTGTTGTGCTCTGTGACAATCTCTCTACAGTATTACTTGCTCACAATCCCATCATGCACTCCAAGACAAAGCATATGAAAATTGAATTAATTTTTGTCAGGGAGAAAGTGTTAGGCAAGAAGTTGTCTGTTGTGCACATTTCTGGTACAGATCAAATAGTTGATGTGCTCACTAAGCCTTTGACATCTACTAAGTTCTTAAAGCTAAGGCACAAACTCAGAGTTGTTGCCACTCCCAGAGTTTGCGGGGGATGAGGGGTATTAGAATTAATAGCTAGTTAGAACAATTAGATATTTTGCTATCATGTAACTGAAGTCAAGGTATTTTCCCTAACCTGCTACAGCATGTCACCTATCTTTTAATATAAAAGAAAGTTAGTTAGCTTTTGTAACTTACTTTCAGATCAATGAAAAGTTATTGAGAATAAATGAAACTCTCTATTTCACTTTCTATCATTATACAATTATTTATTTAAATTTTATTTCTATTTTTAACATTTTCATTTAATTCTAACATTTCTCATGGTGTCGGAAAATCGGGCACTATATTTTGAGTGAAAATTTTCTTCAATTTGGACGTCATCTCTAACATCCCAACAACACTTCTCCTACATTGTTGTATGAAATTCAAAATTAAGCAATCAAGAATCATGAATATCTCAAAAAATATAAAGGAAAGATATTTCAAAAAATATAAAGGAAAAATATACCTTAAATGCATTAAACTAATCTTTTCTGTCATCTTCAAGTACAACTCCTTAACTCGGCCATAATTTTGTATACTTCTCTTTAATAATGCTTGTTATGATCAATATTGTTTGATGGGGCAAGATCCTAAACACCAAAATCTTGAGTTAGAGTTGATTAAATAAAACTCAAATTTAAAATAATATAAAACATATATAAACACTTATGATCCAGAGTCGGGCCAAATGATAAGTCTGCCATGATAATATCTAACTTTTTGCGGCTCATTTCTCCTCAAGATGTGCTCCCTCCTTGTTTGCTCCTCAGGAGAACTGGTTTCTCCAGGAGCACTGGAATCTCCAGGAGCACTGGTATCTCCATGATCATCCTCAGAAGGCATGGATCGGGGCATGCTAGATCCACCTAGCTCCATATGAATGGGTCCATTTGACTGCATGGAAGGCATAGGAAAATAT